TTCTATAAATATATGTATTTCATATACATGTGTTGTATGCAATTTTACTTTATCACGATAGAATAAAAAAATGATTCAAAGGATATTAAGGATTACGATGAGCCTCCTTAACATGAACAGAGTACCAAGAGTTGCAATTTGTGTATTGGAGGAATACAATAATAGACTAACTGCATAACTGGAAAACTAGAGTCCAAGAGTATGGAAAATGAAAGAACGGGACGAAGCCAAGTGAAGTAAAGGCAAAGAGAATGGAGAATGGTGAGCGGCTGTGGTGGTGAGTATAGTGGAGGGGCGATGGCTCACCTACCTGCCGGTCGAGAGCTCAGTCGGTGTCCGCTAGGTTGAAAATCCGTGAGTTCTCCTGTTCGTTTTATATGTGACTTTCCACAGTTTTATGAAAAAGGCGCGAAAAAAGTTGAAAACCAAAATATTAAACTCGGCGAAACGTATACTATCTATAAATAATTTTTATTAGTGTTTCTTGAAGCGTTCACCAAGAAAATTGGTGGTGAACATCAGTTTTTGGTATTGTGTCTTTTAAGTTGCAAGAAAAACGTTCGACTGCATTTTCACGTGCAAATTCGATAACAGTGTATGAAAGTGCGCACATTGATATTCATACACGCGTGATCCCACGCGTGTCGCAGAAGACGTGTGTGTGTTTACATATGGTGACCTGTGTTGACTGTGTAGGGATCAACAACGAAGTAAGGTGATTTTGGATTGCAACGAATTTGTCGGCAACCGACTGTTATTACCGGCTACTTCATAGGCATGCTTGGATTGGACAACAGTAGACAGTGGTATTAGGTGACACACTGGCGCATGTAATACACGCATAAATACACACAAGTGCACAACAGTCATGGTAAGTACGAGAATGTGTACTTAAAACTACGTCTAATGATACACGATAGAAATACTTCGTACACAAATAAATGAAAATCATATGTAATTATACATAATTTTGTTATATATAATTTTAAATGAAAATTATGTACATAATACACTAAAAATCAAGTTACGATTCGGCTATAATTTTATTTCAAATAATCACAAACGTATGTATTTTTTAAATTTATCGTTTAAATAAATAATTAATTTAAAAAAAATCTATTGAATCATTGAAATGTATGTTTCATACGTACGTTGTATCGAACATTCGACTGTTCTCGAGATGAAACTCAAAGAAGGAAACAAGACAAATACTTTGCTTGCAATATGCGTGCATTACATTTTAACTTCACGTCTTGCGTGTTCCTTATCGTTCGAGACTCGCTCCAACTTTGGCTGTACCGAGTATAAGTTGCTGTAACCAAATCTTCAGCATGTATCGTTTAGTAGTAGTCATTGTAAACGCAGTTTCAATTTGTATCACTTAATTATAATTGTAAAAAACTGCTAAAAAGAAGTGTAAAGTAATGTATTTCATTAACTATGAAATTGAGCTGAATCAACAAGTGAAAGCGTTTTGTCTCTGCGCGGAATCGGAGTGCATTTAGAAGAAGTAAATGCGTATATATGTACATCGAATTTCTGTATACGCTGACATTTGACCATTTGACAGTGAAAGATAATAAGTCAGCAACAATAATCGTCTAATCGCGTTGCTGGCAATAAAAGTGTCGTGAATATCTTTTGACTAACGTTTCTTAGTTATGTACTATTAATGGTCTAAGTTACCAATCGCTGTTTCGAATGTGAAAAATATAAATACGTATTCGCATGAAATCGATTCTTTAAAATTAGACTTTAATTTTCACAGTATTTCTACAAAACGCAATCGATCCCAGCATTTCTTCGATCTACAGTTAGTTTTGAAAATCTCAAGACGATACTTTTGTAGTATTAAAATGCATCGTCAGATGTCTAAGGAAGCTAACTTCAAAGTGGTTTTCCAAAATCATGCAATTGTACCCAGAGGGCTGTAGTATTTTCAATTGTGACTATAATATTATTTTTCTCACAATTATAATTCAATACTAAGTTTCCTCATTGTGCATCGAGCTTTAATGTGATTCTAATAAGGTACGAGCATAGTAATTATTACGTAATAGCAACGGTTTTTAGCAATATTACAATACTATCCTTTTATATCCGTGTGTTCCAATGAGTCGTTCAGTTAGTCATGCGTGCAGATTGCTGCAAAACCTGGTTCTAGAGACAAATACAAACGACATCTTTAGGGTTATGTATCTTTACCGACGTTTTCTATTTCTGCATCTACCAATACACGGTTATACTCTAATTGTATCGCAATAAGTATGCAACACGGGGAAGATTCTGTATACGCATTACGACAAGAGTACAAAATTATTGATCAGTATTGTCGTATCATAGAAAATTGTGCAAATCACAGCAGACTTTAATGTCACTCTTTCAAACAGTTTTTTCTTTTTTTTCTTTTCAGTGTACATATATTTAATCTCGGTTCTCGTTTTTCGCTGTGATTCAGAAATGCCGCGAATTTCAAAATCAATTCAATTTCTCTTATCTCTATAAATTCGTTTAATTCAAGTTTATTCATATCTTTACTACCCGGTCAAATGACATGTTCCTCGTCGATGTTCGTATGCTCGGAAAAAGTGTGTATAGTTAATTTATTATTTATCGTGTTAGCTTTCATAGCGTGATTTACGTAACAACTGAGACTGAATGAGCAGCATTTGTTGAACGCGGCAAATGTACATTCATAAGAAAGTATTCTCTTCCGCGGTATAATTAACTAGAAAGTGTGCAACAGTTCGATGTCATTTTATACGATTACATCTCAATCATGCTGTTTCGCGTACACAACTATTATTCCCTGTGTTTCTCTTGTTACCGGAAATAACCAGAATCGAGATGATAATTATCCCAATCGAAGATGCGAGTTTCGTCTGCACAGCTGGCTGCAACAGAGATCCCGTAGGAACCTGTGTGTGATTTACTTTCGTTCCCGTTATCTGACACAGTTATGAACCTTCAGGTGTGTTATATTCTGACTCGTTGTAACATACGTTTTTCCTCGTAAAAACCATAAGAGCAACGTTCTAAGATATCTTATATTTAATCGAACCCGAAGAAACAGAATAACGAGAAAATAAAAGGTTAACCTAAAAAAAATACGTCAAGTAGCTAAATTATTATTTTTTAAATTCATTATTAAATACGCCTTTATTCAATGACTAGTTAAACGTAAAATTTAAAAAGGACCAAGAGTAAAATCAAACGAAATATATTTAATATTAACGTAAAATCTGAGACTTATACATGACGTGTATAAAATTGCAGAGATTTATAGTAAGCTGTTAACTTTTTCGTGCTCAAATTATTTTCTTTTTAAATTTATTATTTATCTATCGATCATTTCGTGTATAATGGATTGAGACGAATGTTTATTCGAGACTTATGTGTTCCACTGGTAATGAAAGGGTTAAGGTAGGAGCGTTAAAACGACGAAGGAACAAAAGTGCAAAAGGTTAACGTTGATCGCGACAAGTTTTTCTCGGATCGACAGTTTCCGATAGAAAACCCGCCTATCCACTTTGCTATAGCTTTTAGAACTCTCTCGTAGTTCGCTTCTTTACAATTAATGGTCTTACGTGTACCTGTGGTTCTTCTTCGAGTTAAATTAAGAATCGTGTAACAGCTTTGAAATCAACCTGGTGTTATATTGTTGTTTCCATAGAATAAAAAAAAAAGAAGGAAAAGTCGTCGCTTCTTCGTCGAGGAAACTGGTGAAAGGTAGGTGAAAAAGAGGATAAAGAGAACACAGACGAGGAGCAGGTATCGACCTGAGAAAAATGACAGATACGAAACGGTTACTGTACTAGTCGACCGGTTCTTCTTGTTACTAACTTCCTCCGCGCGACATATACTGGGTGACGATAGTAAGCAAAGTTTCATTGACGTTCACCTCTGTATACCGGGTGACACGATCAAACTGTGATTCGTGATTCTATAGTTGTTTCGTTATTGCTGGAGCAGAATGTTACAGAACCATTAATTTAACGTCCTTTCCTGTTTTTAAAATAATTCGCTGAAGTTTTTGATGGTTAAACTTGTAATTTAGAGGTTATGTTTTAAAATTAATTATTAATTTAGCATCCCTTTTTGTTTTTAAATAATGCACGGAAGTTTTTGATGGATAAACTGTGAAATTTAGAGGTTATGTTTGAAAATGAATTATTAATTTGTTGTTCCTTTCTGTTTTTAAAATAATTCGCTGAAGTTTGCGAGGGATAAACTGTGAAATTTAGAGGTTATGTTTTCAAATGAATTATTAATTTAGCGCCCTTTCTGTTTTTAAAATAATGGCTGAAATTTATAGGTTCTGTTTTAAAATGAATATCCGTGATTTTCATTTTACACGGAGCACGATATAAAGCATTCAAATATAAATTTTGGACGTTAATCAAATTTAGTAAAATAATAATAAATGTAATTTCAGACTTATTCTGCTTTTTTAATTTATAAATCGATTATTTATATATTGTAAAATATGCAATATCAAAATCACTAATGGATAACTTCGGAACATAAATATATTCAAAATAATATTAAATTTCATGCAGAATATCAGTAGCTTTCCATTTACAATTTAACGTAATTATCACAAGTATTGAAAAATTACCTGTGTTTAAAAATGAATAATTTTAACTCGAAGCAAACATTTTTTGTTTCTTTTGAAAATTTCTATCAGCTGTTAAACCTCTCATACGTTCATTTTCTGTGAAGAAATAAATATATATAAATTGCATTCGTTGTTAAAATGTTATGCTTAAATAAAATTTACACGCAAGTAGTACTTATCTATTACATATTCGAATAACCACAATGGTTCACTGCACCA